ACAAAAAAAGCTAAAATTAATAAAAAAATGAAACAAAATAAAACAAAAAAAGCTAAAATTGGCATAAATGCTGAAATATCAAAAGTCATAGCTGGAATGTCCTGAAAGAGCTGAACATTTTGATATTTGAATTGTTAAAATAACACACAAATTGCTGAACGAGATAGGGGCCAAAAATCTGTTGAAGACAAAATGAGCTCAATAGTGTGAATGATTGTGAAGCGTTCACACAACAACTTGTTTTGTTTCTAGTTTTCCGATGGGTCAGAAGTYACTTTTTTTATTAATAAACACTGAAGGACGTTTTGTTGTTATTAACTGGAATTTTTCTACCTAAGTTTTATGTTTATTAAGAGAAACTTTCAACTTAAAAAAATAGGAGACACAAACTCATCGCATCACTTTCTGATGGTTCTGAAAACTTGTGCCCGTTGTGAGTAAATTTTGCGTTAAAGTGATGCAGGACGATGAGCGATGATTGGGATTGTTTTGGGGTCAGTTTGCACTCAGCTCACTTATCAAATGTTCTCATTTCAAATTGGGTGGGGAAAAAAGAAACGACAAAAATGAAGAAAGTGCTCCAGAGTGATTTGAAAATAACAGTCATCCAATTACGGCGGTAATGTAGGGAGTGTTCGTCCCCGAGTGCAGCGCAGTGTCATTACCCTAACAGCTATTAAAGCAGGCGCGGTGCTCTGTAATGTGGCTGCAGCTGCAGCCTTGATCTGACCCTGCAGCTAATGGTCCAGAACCGCTCCACCTGCTCTGGAATATCACTGGCTGAAGGAGCATCCAAGCGTTTGACCAAACTAATAGAAGGATGCCACGTGATTTCACTGGGAGTTCACGTCAGAAGGTTTAGGGTCTGTGTGATGGAAGATTTGTACTTTTATCCTTGTAAAAAAACAACAACTGATGTTTAGCAGGTTAAAGTGCCTGTGACATCTAATTTTTCTAATAAACGTGAATGCACTTTTAAAACAATGACAATAATTAGCATATTGCAAGAAAGATTTCATGTTTCTGAGCTGAAGAGTTGATGATATTTTACGTGAAAAAACAGGAAGTGACATCAAAGGGAGATGTTGAATGTGAACAGAGCAACAACAGCTAACGACACCGACTGTAGAGCAGAATCTGATCATTTTTTATCATTATTTTTGAGTCACTGTCAGAGATGAAGAATCAGTTCAAATAAAGTTTTGATAAACAATGACCAGAGTTTTTTTTTTTTTTCGTAGCTCCCATTTGATGTCACTTCCTGTTTCACTTCCAGGTTCAGAGGAAAATATGTGAGTTATGTGACAAAATGGGTCAAATCGTGTGTATTATGTCTTTTCTTAAATAGATTTTTTTAATTCTGTATTTGAAAGATATGCAKGWCACWGGAACTTTAATTCTTAATGGATGATGAGCATACGGCAGACAAATATGCACACTTTCTTGGGTTAATGTTTGATTATATGGGCCTATTTTGTGCGAAAAAATCAGTGTTTTTCTAAGTTGTATTTACACATGCAGTATTTGACCCTGTGTGGATTAAAAAATAAATTACACAAGTGTTGGTAAAGTAATGTAAATTCAAACTGCATCAAATTATATATATATATACAAAATTCACGGTTCGGTTCGATACTTTAGTCTCACGGTTCGATA